AAAAAAAAAAAAAAAAAAAAAGTAAGAAAATAAATCGATTTCAGTCTGAGGCGGGGAGTGGAGGGTCAGCCGGGTCAGTCTGTTCCAAGGGCTGCCACGGTGCAATTGAAGGTCCAGTAAATCCCTCATCTTGGTGTTTTCAGTGTTGAAAGGGGCTCGGAGGGCTCACAGAAACTCAGGACTGGCCAACTGTGTTGTCAGTTTTTAGAAAAAGACTTGCAGGCCAGGGACATAGCTCAGCAGGCACAAGTGCCTGCCTGGCAAGTGCAAGGTCCCAAGTTTGATTCCAGACACACACACACACACACACACACACACACACACACACAGTCTTGCAAGCCTGAGCTGAGAGGCAAGTCAAGAAAATAGCACAAAGGCCAGGCTTCTTCCTACATCTGTACAAGCCCATTTTTTTTTTGTTTTAGCAAAAACCCACTTAAAGTCCCAGACTGCTTCAAAAAAAACACACCTTGCTTTAATGAGTAATGGGTTCAGAGCACAGGGCTCTTTTGTGCTCTGTCCCCAAGGTAGTCTCTGTGTCAAGGTGACAGGCCCTGGAGAATTGGCCTGGGGGCATGTGAGCTAGGCACACAGGCATAGGCCCACTCACCATCGCCTCTGAGCCTTCTTTCTTTCTTTCTTTCTTTATTTGTATTTAGGGCATGGTCCACAGGGTCTCACTCCTTAGATCCGACTCGTAGTGATTGTACCATTTTCAGCTTCCCAAGTGCTGGGATTAGAGGAGCACGCCACCACACCACAGCCTCTAGTTGCCACCTCGGCGCGTCCCGCGGGCGGGCCGTATGGCACGCCAGGGATCGAATCCTGGCCGCACACGCTCTGCCTAAGCAGGTGCTTTAGTCCACTGAGCTATCAGCTTGGGCCTTCTTTAAAAGAGCTTTGGGGGTCGGGGAGATGGCTTAGTGGAATAAGTGCTTCCCTGACAAGCGCAAGGCCCCGAGTTCAATGCCTGGTTCCGAAAAAAAAAAAAAAAAGGAAAAGGAAAAATAAAAAAATAAAAGCTTTGAGGTAATGTGGCACACACCTCTGATACCAGGACTAGGCAGGCTGAAGGAGGATCGCAGCCAGTTCAAGGCTAGCATGAGCAACCCAGTTTCAAACTTTCCACCCCAAAACAATGGCGCGTCGGGTAAGCCTGGACCACCGTGGACTCTCCGGCGGCAGATCCGCAAGCCACGTCCCCTCCGCCCTTCTCCCCTCTTCTCCACCAGGACCCCCGCTGCGCAGGCGCACTGAGCCGCGGCGGCGAAGGGAGGCAGGCCGGAGGGCGAAGGGGCGGGGCGAGCCGTAGCCCGCGGCTGCGCAGTCACCTGGCCACGCCCTCCACGCTCGCCTATTTCCGGCGCCGAGGCTTTTCCGGCCTAAGAAGACGCCTCAGAAGCTGGCGTCTGTTGGGGCCAATCTGAGGAACTGACTAGCTACGACTATGGCGTCAGGGGCGACCCGCGGGCCCCCGCGCTGGGCGCTGCTCCTCGGCGGCGCCACGCTGCTTCTGCTGCTGGTCCCGGCGGCCTCGTCGGAGCCGGTTGGAGCGGGTGAGGCCGGGCGCGGGGCTGCTCGGCGGGTGGACTCTCAGAGGATGGCTCGCTGGGCTGAGGTGGGCGCGGAGAAGCCGAGGCCGGGCGTCCGCGGGCTGTTCGGCCTCTCTCGGTTCTCGCGGGGCGGTGATGCGTCTCTGCTTTCCCAGGGGAACCTCGCCTCTCCAGGGCTCCAGGCCAGCCGGCTGGCCCTGTGTCTAAGTGGCCCTCAGAATGGCGCGGTTGCCCCGTAGGCGATGAATCCACCCGAGATCCCTTGGCCTCGCTTCAGCGAACCCCGCAGTGGGGGTGACCCGGTCGGGCTGGAATGGCCGGTATTGTTCTCAGCTGCCGTTGGTCCAGGCTTCTGCGAGTCCTCTCATCCACCGTGGCAAAGCATGTGTTCGGTTTGTGACCTTTGAATTGTTCCACCCCGGTATTTAGGTTTTTTTTTTCCTCCCGTGCTTAGTTCTTTGTGAGGACAGTGTAGCTGTCGTGCAGGGAACTTGGACCGAAGTTGAGTTCTAATCACACGGGTGCAGGTGAGCGCTTGTTATCAGGCAGAACAGGTGTGTCAGACAGTCCACAGCGCCAAGACCTTTATCTGTGGCTAGTGGGCGTGTTTGCCTGCAGTGCGGGAGCAGGTGACTGAGCGGAGCAGCCTAGCGGGCATTTGGGCGTGGCTGCCCTGGGTTCCCAGTCCTGCACTTCTCTGAAGGGCAGTTTGGGAATTCACTTGGAAATGCCTCTCTAGTGTGTCAGCTCTTCCTACTTCTGGGCTGTTTCCTCTAGAAGTGGTCCATTTCTCACTGGGACACCTTGCAGGGGGCCTTATTGCCATACTTGTCTGGGTAGCTGTATACTGCTCCACCTGTCCTGGGCTGTTGTGTTCTTGTTCTCTAGAGGGTACTTCTTACAGAGTTGAGGCCTCCTCTTTCCCTCTTGCCATAGATCATGTGCAGATTGAGGGTTTTTTTTTTTTTTGGCAGAACTGGAGATTGAACTCAGGCCCCCAGGCTTGCCAGGGAAATGCTTATTCCACTATGCCGTCTTCCCGCCCCCTCCCCTTTTTTTTAAACTGCTTGTCCTATAGGAACATGGCTACTGAGGTCTAAACAGTTTTATCTTTACAAGGGTACTGTGTGAATATAAAGATACATCATACAAATCCAAAACCCGTAATTTATTTTTTTTCTTTTGAGACAGTGTTTCACTCTGTAGTCCAGGTTGTCCACAAACTCACTGTGTAGCCTAGATTGGCATTAAACTTTTGTTTGGTTTTTGGCATCAGGAATCAAACTCAGGACCTTGTACTTAGCAGGCAGACACTTGTGCCACTGAGCTGTGATCCCACCCCTGGCCTCGAATTTGAAGCAACCTTCCTGCCCTAGCCTCCCAAGTGCTTGGATTACAACTGTGTATCACTGTGCCTGACAAGCCCACAGTTTTAAAAATGTTTATGTATGTGTTCTTTGCTGGAGAAGACACATTAGGAACCTGTAATGTATTGAAGATCTTTAGGGCAAAATTCGTGAAATTAAAGAAATGTTAATAGGCCTTTTGGAGCTCACATTAATGTGTATGGGGTCAGACTCCATCTCAGAGCTTTGTCTGGCATGAGCATGGCATGGCTTTGTCTGGCATGGCATGGCAGTCCTTAAAGAGACCTCAGCTGTGCTTCTGCACAAGAATCCCCAGGAGTACAACTGAGTCCTTGAGGTACCAGGGTGGCGCAATTAGAGTTCTTTACAAATTAGCACATAGAATCCTTGAAAAACGTAGGGCAGTTTTTCTTATCTCCACACATGGCTCTTTTAGTCTGTGATGTGGAGCAGTAGAAAATGGTCAGTGTGTTTCTACTTGCCTGCAAGACTGTGGCATCTTCCATGAGAGAATGGGACCATCTTGCTTGTTACTTTGCTGAGGGTCCCTGTTTCCCAATGTTGAAGACCTACCCTGTGCCTGGCATGTGGAAGAGGGAGGCTGAGCCACTCTACCTCTGCTTTGGGGGCTCCCACTGGCCAGTAAATCAGGGGTCAGGGTGTGTCTCTTGGAGCTCTCACAACAGTTACCAGTGAAAGGTCTTGGAAGAGAAGCCTCCCGTCCCTGAGGCCACCCTCTCAGTCTGGTGAGGAGGGCATCATTGGAGGTGACTTTGGAAGGAGGCTGGAATGTGCCAGTGTCCTGAGGGATCTCAGAGCTTGGAGAGGCTCAGAATGAGTGAGGTTAGTAAGAGATCTCAGTGTGGTTACACTTAACACTCCCTCTCTAGCTGGTTTTTCCTGTCTTTTCAACTTACACTAAAATTGCCTGTGTGTTATTTTAAAAACATAACAATTGCAAAATGTAAGTTATGATTTTACTTCTTGTTATTTTCACCAAATTATGAGTGTAAATTGCTGAGGTGACCCTTTACCCTGACATTCATTTTTGGTTTTAGATATAGTCTCTATTGTTCAGGTTGGCCTTGAACTCACTATGTAGCCCAGGTATGGCCATCTTTCTGCCTCAGCCTCTTGACTGCTGGGGTTATAGGACTCAGAACACTGATCCATGTGTAATCAGGGGCTCAAAGCCTGCATCCACATCTTTGTTGGCCTATGAACTTTCACGGTCTCACCCTCTGATGCTTTTGCTTCCTCTGCAGGTTGTGCTCAAAACTCAAACACTTCGTGTGAAGAGTGCCTGAAGAATGTCTCTGTAAGTAACTTGGATCTAAGTCTAGGGACATGGGTATGTGAGTGTATTTGTGTACGTATGTATGTGTTTGAGAGAGACAGAGGCTTTGGTGTTTGGCATTTATTGGGTATTTTCATGATGGTTGCTAAACATGATGCAGCCTCTCTCGGACATGTTAAACCTGGAAAACTGCAGGTACCCCAAGTATAGTCCATATTGGTAGTCTCACCCTACAGGGGGTGGTTAGAAGCAGGAAGTGTGCAGGCCAATATTTCTTGCCTGCTGGTTGGGAAGCAACAGGTATGTTGGTGTGTGATGACCAATGCAGAGCGGGACAGGCATTGGTCTGAGACTTCTGGCCCATGACCAGCCATTCCTGTGGGATCATATGCCTTAAGAGACCTGTCAGGATGTAACTCTATCCTGCAGCATTGCTGTATCCCATCAGGAGATGGAGAGAGAAGGAACTTTGCTTTCCTTCTGCTGTCAGGATATGCAGGGAGGTTCTGTCAGCTTTACATAGGAAACAAGGTACGGACAGCTACCAGTCAATGTGAGACCTCGGGGCCATTTGGTGGCCTGGGAAGACTCAGGCAGTCTACTGGATTTGGTCCCCAGTTTCCTTAAATGCCCACATGAGATCATACAGCAGGCACTGCACAAATAGCCAGAGGAAAGAAAGGCTAAGGTACACTTTAGTATTTCTGTAATAGATCACAGATCCTAAAAAGCATGACCTTTTAGTTCTGTTAATGATCGAATAATACCATGAAAATCACAGCTTTGAATAATCACAGAGTGTCAATGTGACCAGGAAGTTCATGCTACTGAGACTGCAGCTCTCCTGCATGTCACCTGCTAGCCACACCTCCTGCCCTGGATGTTCTGCTATTACGAGTGGCAGTGTGATGTGTGCTGGGGTGATGGCACTTTCAGTCTTTCCCTAACATTCAAGGGTCTCAGATAAGAGGCCTTTCCAGTTCAAGTTGTGATAACTTAGTATAGATGTAAAGGTGGAGCACAGGAGGCATGTGAGTCCTTTTAGCCAACACTTAATATGCATACCCCATGGGTCAGGCTGTACCCTGTGCCCTGGTGCCTGCCCTCATGCAGAGCTTGCTAGACAACCTGAGTAGGCTGCCTTAGGAGGTGGTGGTTTTTTGTGTGAAAAGCATGCAGGTCAGGGGGTGGGGCAAGAGAGGTGGGATGTGTGTGCATACGTCCATTTGTCAGGGCAGGCTTAGGAAAAGGGCATGCAGATGTTCGAGAAAGAGGTCCCAATGGAGGTGGGGCAGCTCTCAGAACCAGTGGAGTTGAGCAGGCCCTGGGTGCCCTCTTGAGTTACAGGGCCCTGAATGAGACCACAAGGCTTGGGAGAGCAGCTGCCTGTGGTATTCAGCATTGACCAGAAGCCAGAAAAATGAGGAGGACTGGTTGGGGCACCAAGGCTATATGTGTTCTCAGGGAGGGCTACTGGGATCCCAGACAGTGGAAATCTTCAAGGTGGCCCAGTTCTTTCCTGGGCTGACATGGTGATCCCACATCGGTCTCTTCCAGTGTCTGTGGTGCAACACTAACAAGGCGTGCTTGGACTACCCCGTTAGAAAGATCTTGCCACCTGCTTCTCTCTGCGAGCTGAGTTCTGCACGCTGGGGCATTTGCTGGGGTAAGTTATTTTCATTTACTTTTTGCAGAATGAAGCGCTTTTCTGCCAATTCTGGCATGTTTTAAGCATAAATTGCTAGGAAACATGCTCATGTGGCTCTCAGCCACACCCATAGAGAAGGAAGTTGAGGCCAGGATGCCTGGGTCTGGGCCGGTAGCCAGGTCCCTAGGAGTCTACAGAACTTCAAGGTTGTAGGGCAGTGAGGGGAAGGGCAGGTCTTTGGCTCTGCATTGTATTCTAGTTCTGAGCTGCCCTTGAATCCAACTGGGCTCCCCTGGGACTCTTCATCCCCGGCTTAGGAGCCCCTCTTCAGCTGGGACTCCAACCACCCATGTTTCCCCTTTTTCTCTGATTGTGGTAGATTGATTGTACAGGTATTCGTTCATGAGTTATCCTTGAAGGATTCAAATTGTTTCCTGGTTTACATTTTAAGTTTGTAGTGTGTCTTGCTACTTGGAACTCATTTTTTCTGCACTGAATTTTTAATCCTTTTGTGGCTTGAAGTTTTGGGGTCACATGGGCCTCTTTCAGCTCATGAAGGAGCTAGTATTTTCTTGGGCACTGAAAGGGCTGCCATGTTGGTCCCACCCCCGGGGTGCACTTGAGACGGTGTTGTGGCAGGCATGGTAGTGCCCATCTGTAATCCCAGGTCTTGGGAGGCTGTAAGCAGGCGGATCACTACGAGTCCGATCTCGTAGTGAGACCTTGAACACCCTGTACACCGTTCCCTAAAATACAAAAAACAAAAAAGAAAAGGTTCTTGGAGCACTGTGTGTGTGTGTGTTTACAGGTTGGATCTTCTTCAGGTCTACCCTTTATTCACTTTGTCTTTTCGCTGTGTGAACCTTTTGGACCGAATATCCAAACTACAATCTAGAACTGACCTATTTATGGCAAAGTGCCAGCACTGTAATAAATGTGAATATCCAGTGCTCAGCTGCGCTGTAGCACACATGCCGTAGGTTTGTCACCGGTATTCTGGTGCCTAGCACAGAATCCCACCATTTCCCTCTGAAACAGCTCTTTATATATACATATATATATGTTTTATTTTTTTATTTTTTTTAATGGAACCAGGGATTGAACTCAGGCCTTTGCCCTTGCCAGGCAAGTGCTTATTGTACTGAGCCATCTCCCCAGCCCCTACTTTTTAGAAGTTGCTGTGGGATTGTAATAGTGTGTGTGTGTGTGTGTGTGTGTGTGTGTGTGTTTTTCTTGCTCCCCTGTGTGTGCAGTCTCCAACCGTGCCCACCTGCCCACTGCTCCCTATGTCCTCCCAGCCCTTACCACTGCTGTGCTCTTGGCTGCTGCCCTCTCCCCAGAGCTTTTCCTTTCCCATTATTGCCTTAGGCAATGCATCACCAGTGTAATGCCTGCTCCTCAGTATCCCTGTGTCTGGACTGCATTGTAGCCTGTGTGACATCACACACATGTATAGTCAGAGGTGCTTGTCGGGTTGTCACAATACACATTCAGTTAGTGCCACTAAAGCAAAACATGCAGTCCCTGTTGATTCTCAGGCACGGCTGCGCTCCTCTCTGGCCACAGTGACCATGTACTGACCTCCTCTCAGTATACTCAGTGCTGCCCATTTGTGACTCACATAGAGGCTATGGGCAGCACCCTCCTTCCTCATTTGTGCTCACTTGAGTTTTACCAGCAGAGGAGGGGCCGTCTGTGTGTTGTGGGAGTGGCTGTGCCCATTGTACCCCCAGGCGTGACACATGTCCCTGCTGGCATCTGAGGTAATCTGGGCATGTGGCACTGTCATCAAGGTGCTGATCACATGTCTCGAGGACTGGGGATGTCAAGAATCTTTTAGGTGGGAGTGTACCTGCTGTTCTTCTGAGATGAGAGTCCTATCCCAAGTGGAGGGAGACGAAACATGACACCCAGCCCCGAACAAATGAGATCCCCTAGCACATGTAGTCATGCATGCTGCCTGAGCATGCAAAAAACAGCCTGTGTCTGTGGGAGGGAGAGGGTGGGTGGCTCCCTGAGTCCCAGAGGGCTTGCACTTCCAAGGCTGCCTGGATGCTGAAGTCCATCACAGGGACTGAGTCTGCACTATACCTGGTCCTGGGTATGGATTGTAGAACTAGGTTTCTCTTGGGGAAAGAGAGGGAAGCTGTGGATGGGCCACACGGCCTGCTGGTTCTCCAGGGATCAAAGCAGAACATTATTTAGTTTAGGCCTCCTTCATGGATACTTATTCTTGAATAGCTTCAGCATAATTTTGTCTGCTTCTAGGCAAAATTGCTGTGGAGTCTTAATTACAGTGACTTTATACGTTCATTTGGAGAAAAGAGATCTCTACAGTTGTGGCCTTTTGTCCTGAAACAGGTTGTCTCCTATCCAGGTCATCTTTGCAGCCTTTGTTAGAAGGTCATGGTTTTACCTCGTAGGATTAACAGCAAGGTGCCTGCAGATTTACTTTGCATTGTGACAGGGTTTTGTTATATTTACAACTAGCTTTATCAACTTATCAGAAATGCTGTTTGAAAGTAGATAGTTGTTAGGACCAGTTGTCTCACTAAACTTATTAGCTTTTAGGCTGTCGAGATAGCTCAGTGGACTAAGTGCCTGCTTTGGCAAGCACAGGGACCAGGGTTCGATCCCCAGACCTGCATGCCATGATGGCCCTGCCCCCAGGGCATGCTGAGCTGCTGACCCAAGCCCAGGCATGGTGGTGCATGCCTGTAATCCCAGTACTGGGGAGACTAAAAACAGGAGGACCATGATGAGGTCTCACTATGCAGTTCAGACTTGTAGTAATCCTCCTGTCTTGGTCTCCCCAGTGCTGGGATTACAGGCATGGGCACCATCACACCCGGTTTTGGTACTGCGTGCCCAGGGTTCTGGGACCAGCACAGCATACAGTACTGGAGATTGAACCCAAGCGCTTGCACTTGCCAAGCAGGCTCTTGGACTGCTGAGCTATTGCCCCAGCCCACTTAATTGGCTTTTTAAAGTTGATTTTTTTAGAGTTCTCTAGTCAGAAAGTTTTACCATCTGTTAATGTAGGTCTCCTTTCTACTTACATTACTGCTAATTTTTTTTAACTACACTCACAGACCAGGTCATAGGGGGACAGGAAACATGATTAAAAGCTCAAGGGTATTGGAGCAGATGTAACACCAACAATAGATTTTAAGATATTTAATAAGGAAAAAATAAAGAATACAATATTTTTTATGTATTTAGTACAAGTCTACTGGGTTTCACTATGCAGATCAGACTCATGATTCTCCTGTTTTTAGCTTCCCAAGTGCTGGGATTACAGGCATGTGCCACCACACACAGTCTCTATCCAGTCTCAATCACTGTCTCAACATGCCCCGGGGGCAGGGCTGGCATGGCACGGCTGGGGTTGAATCCCTGCTGCTGAGCTCTGCCTAAGCAGGGACATTAGTCTGCTAAGCTCTCTGGCCGGCCCTAGTGTTTAATAAGCTACCATGCAGAGTCTCTTAAGTGGATAACTCACAGGAGCTGGTTGAAGGTCCACCAGGCCAGGGCTTAGCAGAGTACCATTCTCTACCCCAAGAATGGCTGCTCAGAGATGACCTAGCCCAATGGGTGGCTTCATGGAGCCCATTCAGGGTGGAGCTGCACAGTGGGCAGCATGCCCTGGAGTTGACCTCAGGACTATATGAGTAGATTGGATGCTTATACAAGAGTGGTGTGGAATGTTCCTGCTTGGCTCTAGGCTGAGCTAAAAAGGAAAAGTCTGACTGGTGTCATTTCAAGACTTGAGAGAAATTGATGATGCCTTTGTCACTGGAGATCAGCTTTAGCAGGAAGCCATTGTGTCCTTGCCAGCAAGTCATCCCCTCTCCACAGAAGACAGTTAAAAGATTTTTGCTTCTCTGGGAAGTTGTCGATATTCAATTTTATTTGTTTGTTTGTTTGTTATAGGGTCTCACTATGCATTTCAGACACATAGTGATCCTCTTGTCTCAGCCTCCCCAAGCTGAGATTACATGCTCACACCACCACACTGGTTTTGAGGCGACACGATATGCCTGGGTTTTCTAGGGCTGGCACAGGATGTGGCAGTGGGGATTGAACTCAGGTCTTTGCACTTGTCAGGCAAGTGCTTAGACCACTGTGCTATCTCCCTAGCCCTAGTAGTTGATATTCTTATCTTTGATTTAAATAATGAACAGTATTGCCTCAGACAGTACAGTCTCCATTTCTGAGGAGTTTCATACAGGTTCAGGGTGGCTCGGGAGTGTGGAGAGGTCTGGGCTTCTTTCTGGCTTTCTTCATCTTTCTCACACTGGAAACCTCTTTGCAGTCGAAAATAGAGAAGTAGTTCTGACCATTTATCATGGTTGTCCAGGAATAAAGTCACGAACAACCAGGTGGCTAGGCAGTGTAGGTGCTAGGCTCCAAGGTCGCCCCTGGAAGAGGGGCACTGCTCTCCATGGCCAGGGTTGTAAGGAAGCAGCTCTGACTTGTGTGTCTGGCCTTACAGTGAACTTCAAGGCACTGATTATCACCATGTCTGTGCTGGGTGGCTCCCTCATCTTGGGCATTGCTGTGGCCTGCTGCTGCTGCTGTAGGAGTAAGAGAAGCCGGAAGCCGGATAAGAGTGATGAGCGGGCCATGAGGGAGCAAGAAGAGAGGAGGGTCCGGCAGGAGGAGAGGTGAGGCTGCACACTGATTTTCCAGGCTGAGGAGAGCTTTGAAACTTTGTTCTCTTTCCTCCCAGGGCTGGGGATGGTAGTGTGCAAGTTGGCTGTGCTTCTGGGTGGACATCTAGTTTTTGGTACAGGTTCCATGGGCCCAACAGCTGAAGCAGCTAGGTCTTTTGTATCTGGTACCCCTTCCTTAGGATGAGCCAGAGAGTCTCACAGTATCCAGCATCAAGATGATCTATCAGAAAGAGGAGAGTACTTTATTAGAGTACCCCAGGAAACTGGCTGTACCTCCCCATGACCTCAAGGGGAGTGTGGTCTCATTTGTCCCCACCTGACCTACTGGGCACCAGTGCCTCGGCTCCAGGAGGGGAAGATCCATCTTTTATGTTGCCATTGTACTGTTAGGTTGTTTGATGCTATCTGATTTTTTAAAAAAAATTCATTAAGTGCATTGGTACATTTTGGGTATACATAATGGATGGTCACATTCATCATGGGGAATTTGTACCTGTACACAGTATAACTTGATTCTGTTGTTTTTTCCTCATTCCCCTCCCTTCAACCCCTCTTCTCCTTATTTACAAAAACTTTGTTTCCATTTTTCTCTTTTCTCAGTTTTTTTTTTCCTTCTCCCTCCCTTGCTTCCTGTCCCTTCCCTTGTTCCCCTTCCCATTTGGACATTTTTCTTCCTATTTCACAATATGTTTTATACTTTAAAATATATATATATATATGTTTAGTACAGGGACTCACTACACAGATTGAACTTGTAGTGATCCTTCTCAGTTCTTGTGCCTGCCTAAACAGGCACTTCAATCCACTAAACTATCTGACCGGCCCTTCTCTTACACATTTTGATTCTTATTTACATTTTTGTTTTCTCACACCAGAGAAACAATGTGATATTTACACATATGTGTCAGATTTATTTCTTTTAACAGAATGGTCTCAAGGTACATTCATTACCTAGAAATGCTTCAAGCTTGTCCTTTATGGCAGAGTAGTATTCCATTGTATTAAAAGTACCCATTATTACCAATTCATCAGTTGATGGGCATTTAGGCTGTTCCAAGATTTGGCTGCTACAAACTGTGCTGCTATAAACATGGGAATGCATATATCACTGTGGCATGATTTTTTTTTTTTTTTTTTTTTTTGTCTTTTTGAGACAGGGTCTCCCTGTTGTAGTTCAGGCGGGCCTTGAGCTCACTTTGTAGCCCAGGCTGTCTCAGCTTACTGAGTACTAGGATTATAGGTCTTGTTTCAGTGGCTGGCATGGCTTGTGGTTCCAGGTATCAAACCTGGGTCCTTGTGCTTGCCAGGCAGGCATATCTTCCCCAGCCTGAGTGATACTTTTAATTCTTTCAGGACGCTATCAAGAAGGGGGAATAGATTGGTCAAATAGGACCTCTAGTCCTAGTTTTTTGAGGCATTTCCACACTGATTTCCATGATGGTTGTACCAGTTTACTCTCTCACAAACAGTGGAGAATGTACCGGATTCAAATTAAATCGAGACCAGAACAGATTAGAATTTAGTGAGCCTTTATTAGTCAGTCTGGCAGCTGGCCAGCCACACTCTACACAGGGAGGCGCTAAACAGCTGCCCCAACCAGAGTTGAGCTCAGTCCTGTATAGCAAGCCTTGTTGACACAGCTGCACACTGTTTATGACTAGGAGGTTTTCACAGTTTTTAGCGATAAGCAGAACTTGCCCCATTTGGGTCCTGTTAAGCACAAGATATAGTTAGAGTGGAAACACATCAGCTGTGTACAATAGCAGGCTAAAGGATCTGCAGTTGGGTCAGGAAAAGACGCTCAAAGAGCTAGAGGTTCCTGCCAGCTTTTCCCAATAGAAAAATAACAAGAGCCACTTTGATTTTAACCCATTACAGAGAAGGGTTCCTTTTCCCCTCACAACCCCACCTGATGTTGTCTGATTTATTTTTTATTTATTTTTTTGTAGGAGAGCAGAGATGAAGTCAAGACATGATGAAATCAGAAGGAAATACGGTAAGAGTCTTGTTTCCTTTCTGTTGGTTGAGTACCAGTGCCAAGCCACTTCTTGTCTGTGCATTTTGAGGCTGAGCAGAAGGCTGTGGCTATCCTCCCTGGCACAGCAGGGCCAGGCCTTTCTTTGGGTACTGCTGGTTCATGGCACAGGAGGCTGGGCTGGGCTGCAGCTCTGAACTCAGGTCTCCACCATCCTGTCTTCTGGGCATAGCTTGTGAGCCTCATAACCTTTTTATCTGGTTTGCACTTCCTAAATGACATGGTTTTAACTGGTGCTACTTCCCGCTACCTGCACCTGGGCCTGGTGGACTCAGCTGGTTTTAAAACTTAGGTGACCACTGGCTTCTTGTGCTGGATTTGGGGCTGTGGGAACCTCTCGCCTGCCTGAGCCCATAGCCTCCAGCCCAGGCCCTTGCTGTGTGAAGTGCTGTGTGGGAGGGCTTGGGGAAGGCTCTATTTTTTGTTTTTGTTTTTTGTATTTTTAGATAGGGTCTTACTCTGCAGTTCAGGCTGACCTTGAGCTCACTTGGTAGCCCAGGCTGGTCTTGAGCTTGCAATGATCCTCCTGCCTTAGCCTCAGTGTTGGGATTACAGGTGTGTGCCACCATGCCCAGGTTGGAAGGGTTTTCCTTTTTTGGGGGGAGTGGGGCAGAACCTAGGATTGAACTCAGGCTCTTGTGCTTGCCAGGGAAGTGCTTATTCCACTGAGCCATCTCCCTACCCCCTGGAAGGGTTTTCCTAATGGCATTTTTTTTTTTTTTTGAGTTCTTTCTTGAATAAGGAAAATGATATTTTAGTGGGTCTTTGGCATCCTACTCACTCCCCACTCCCTGTGACACCCTGTCACTGTGCGTGTTTGTTATTTTGGGGCATGTTATAGCAAGACCCAGAAGCACCCATTAGTGATGGGGCTATTAAACTCCTGACTCTGTGGGACCTCATCCTGTCTGTCCCTTTTGTCAGGGCTGCACGGGTGCTGAGCAGCTGGTAGCAGTGTTGTGCCCTGGCTGGGAGGAGGTCCTCTGTCCTCTTGAGCCACCTAGGAAGTCATACTGTGTTCAGCTAACTGAAGTTGGCACCCCATAGTGCAGCTTTGGGTCCCCGTTGCCCAAGTCTTTGGCTGCTGGTCTCCTGCCTGCCAGGAGAGATGCCCACAGTAACCTGGTCCCCTCACTGCTACACCTTCACACTTTTCAGCCCACCCTGCTCACTGCAGGAGAGAGGCTAGTGGCACTGGCTCCTGGTTGTTGTGTCATGGGTGGGGGCCAGAGCATTGGTGCTGTGTGTGGTGAGCCACACAGGCTTATCCTGGTGGTTGCATTCCCCTTGTGTCCTGCTGAGCGCACTCTGCTCAGTTTGGACTGATGGTCACTCTTTCTGTAGCCTTAGTTTGAAAAGTACAGTCTAGCACTATGGAAAGAATATTTTAAGTTTTGTAATATTTTTTTTGTGAACATCAAATCAGTATATCTTTGTCTCTTAAGATCTATTGGCATTAGGGACTGGGGAGATAGCTCAGAATAAGCACTTGCCTGGCATGGACAAGGGCCTGAGTTCAATCCCTGGTTCCGCCAAAAAAAAAAAAAAAAGAAGAAGAAAATCTATTGGAATTATTATTTCCTGAAATTTTTACTTCAGTTTGTTTAATAGTATTGGGGATTGAACCCAGGGTCTTTACACTGAGCTACATCTTTAACCTTTTTTTAAAATTTAATTTTAAAAAAGTTTTGGCTGCTCTTAAACTTGGAATCTACCTGTCTTGGCCTCTCAGAGTGCTATGATTAAATCATGTGCCACCAAACCTGGCTTCATTCCTGGGTTTTTTTTTTTTTTTTTTTTCGAGATAGGGTCTTGCTGTATAGTTCAGGCTGTCCCTGAACTAACTATAAAGCCTAGGCTGGCCTCAAAAGTACAACAATCCTCTGCCTCAGCCTCCCAAGTGCTGGGATTCCAGGTATGTGCCATCATGCCCAGCTTATTGGTTTTCTCAAGGTCTCCCCTATGTAGTTCAGGCTGACCTTGAACTCACCCTGTGGCCTAGGTTGGCCTCAAACAGCGATCTGCAGCAGCCTCCCAAGTGCTGGGATTATAAGTGTGTGCCACCATGCCCAGCTCATTTTCGTTTCAAAGCCTGTTTTGGTTTGTCTTCACAAAGCACCATGAACACAATGTGAGTTGCCTAAGAACCCATTTTCCCATAGCCTCAGAAATCTTCACATATACTTAGTATGGTATCCCATGCCTGTAATCCCAGCACCTGATAGGCTGAGATGGGAGGCTCTCAAGTTCAAGGTCAGTGTAGACTTTAAGCAAGACCCTTTCTCAAAAAAAAAAAAAAAAAAAAAGGTGAGGAAAGAAAGCTTTATATAGAACTTAACAAATATATATTGTATTTGGGAGTCTTGTTTCCAATTGAGAGACTTATCTTTGAAACTCATTTTTGTTGTTGTTGTGTTTTTTTAGGTTTGTTTAAAGAGAAAAACCCATATGAGAAGTTTTAAACAACTAGCATGCACTTCGGCCAGATCAGGCAGCCCTGAAGCTTCCTGAAGGGACACATTCCAGGCCTGGATGAGTAATCGGGCTAGCCAGGGAGCTGCCCCAAGGACAATCCCTCCTTCCTGCAAGCTGTGGCCTTCTGTTCCCTGCTGTCTACTTTGTCCTCAATCACGTGAGGCCTGGTCTCTCAGGTCTGCTAGGGGTTGACTGTCCTCTGCAGGCCAGTTCTAAGCTGAGCCTGGCACATATGCTGCCCGCTTCCTGTCCTCTCCACCTGTAGCACTAAGCACAGCCAGGAGCACAGGGCCTAGCTGGCCAACCACTGGCATCTTTCCAAACACAGTGGCGTCCCCATTCCCCTTTCTTAGAATTTTCATGTAAGTCAAGTGGCTTTGAAAAAATGCAGCGCCCCAGCCCCAGAGAGATACAGATTTACCTCCTGACCCAAGTACATTGTGTAGCATTGAAGAAGAGGTCAAATCATCTGAAATTGTTTTTTACAGATCTTTAATGTCTCCAAAACAATTTCAGCAAAAAAAACATTCTTTATGTAGAATTCTAGGCTCCTTTAGATGGCATCTTTATTAGGCCATGAAAATCTATTTCCCTGTGGAAATGTGGATTATAGATGTACATCAAACCAACCCTGCCTGCCTGGGATCTGCCCAGTGGAAGGAAGTGTTCTTCCTGGGTCTCTTGTCTCTGGGATCCTGGAGTTGCCAGGCCTGTCCCCAAAGACCTCAGTAGCAATATCCTCGCTAACCTCTTGGGTTCCCCAGCAGGACCCAAGCACCTGTGGTCATTCCACACCATGTGTTTCCTTAAAAGTGAGATACCTGCACATGTGGTAGCCAGAAGCAGTGTGCTGTGGAGTGGCCTTGCCTTAAGGGACATTGGAACATGGTAGTCTGGGTGCCAGTCCTTCTTGGGAAATTGGTTGGATGAATGGCATTCCCTATGACCACCTGCATCTGCCCTGGGCACTTCTATTCCTACCCTTGGGTGGTTACAGACTGTGGCAGTAACCCTTAGCCAGGCCTTCAGTCCTGTTCTTGAACTTGCTGGGCACTTGATAATACTTTAAAGTATTGCAACACATTCCTAAGTTTTTTATAGTAGGCAAAATTTCGCCTTCTCTTGTGGAAGGAACTTTCTAACAGACTAATGAACTTTGTGTTAACACAATAGCACCTGTGTGAAATCACACTTTGTCTGATTCAGGTGCCGAACCGAGAGTAGAGCTGCCTGTTAAGTAGAGTGAGTACCTTTAGTCCCGAGCCACGTGGGCACCGGGGGATGCAGTCAGCCCTGGTCCGCCTGCCTTGTTCTGAATTGGCAGCAGTGCAGAGCTGTGTCCTCCAGGAAACTAGCAATCCCCAGTGCCTTACTTTGTAATCTTTCTAATAAAGTGGTGTCTCCTAATTGGTTTGTAGTGTGTGTTCCCTGTGCCCTGCCTCCCAGTGGGAAGGAGCCCTGGGTTGTGACCTCTGGGTGGGGTGTACTCCTGGGTGCTTCAAAATGTTGAGCTGCTCTCCCACTGCACACAGCTGCCTGGAGCAGTCAAGGCTGTGTCCTGGAATTGTCCCCATCCCTGCTTGTATGTGCAGGTCCTGGCTCTTGTTGCCATGCCTAGGGCTGTTGCTCTGTGGTGGTTCTCTTATTTGGAGCTTGGCTGTGAGAGCATTGTGGCTTCAGACCAGGACCTTTCTGTGCCCTCCTGGAGTCCACAGCAGTGGGCCTGGGGAGTGAGTGCACAGGGAGGCAGGGGTAGGTGTGTGTGGTGGTGACACTTGGGTGGAGGGTCCCCTCACCATGGCTCAGCTGCTGTGTTAGAACCACTGTTGAAGCAGTCACACTGGGGCAGAAACAGAAAAGGGCTCACAACAGACCCTATTTTCAGGGAAGCGCTAATAAGTGTTGGGTGGCTTTATGTCCTGGCAGTCCCACAGCAGGTAGTGGCCTTCTGGGAAGGCAGCAGTGCCTGGGTAGGGCCAAGGAAACCTTGTGGAGACACCAGATATAGCCCGCTTGCCCAGACCTGCCCTGTTTCCTGCTGAGCAGGAGAGCTCAGGACAGCAGGTTCCCATTTGCTAGCCCAAGGGGCTCTGGCCCCTGAGGCATGTCCCTTGTCTGTGCCTTCCAGTGGCATCTGCTGGCCACAGGGCGGGGTCCACCAGCAGCTAGCCCTGGGAAAATTGCAGCCTTTTGGGAAGCAACCAAGAGTCTGGGTAGTGTGAGAGGATTACTGCCCCATTCTATGCTGCCTACGACCTGGTGTCTGCCAAGCCGGCTGTTTGGAAGCTGAGAGGATAGTGCTTGCAAAGCTGCAGTGTGGCCTGAGGAGTGGCCATCGTGTATGGAAGGTGGTGGCAACAGTCTGATATGTGGGACAAAGGTGGCACTCACTGCCTCTGCATTCTTCATGTCCAGCCAGGGGTGGGGCTAGAGGATACTTGAGGACACTTGAGGACTGTTCAGTGTTCCCTCTCCCCCGCCCAGCCCTTACTCTAAAGAGGTAAATGCTCTGCCTAGACCACAGCTGCTGCTATGTGTTTGCAGCAGGACAGGACTCTGCCTATCTCCTGGACCTATCCTGCAATGTGGCATAGGGAACAACAATCTGTCTTACAATGAGGGACTGGTTGTGTGTCCCTGTGGGATAGTACATTGGCCTAGGAAGTGGGTGCCTGCTGGAGGGGTGCAGGGGTGAACCCAAGTCCTCAAGGATGCCCAACAAGCTCTACCACCAGTCATGCAAACAGGTTCTCCCTAAATTGCCTGGGATGGCTTTTTATTTGGAATCCTGCATAGTATCCTGGCTGTTTTCTTACCTCCATTGTCTGCTCCAGTCCAGTCCCCAGAAAGGTGGGATATTTCCAGCTAGGGGAAGGAGTCCTGTGGATGCAGAGCCACCCACAGGAATACAGCTTGTGCAGCCAGCTGGGAAGATGCTGCACCGTGATGGGATAGTCTGTGGTGCTCTGTGAGCGCACAGCCAGCCAGGGAGAGGCGCTAAGGTACCAACAGTTCGCAGCTGTGTTCCTTGTGCCTAGCCACTGCTTTCAGCCATAACACCCTCTAGTCTGGGCTTAGTCATTACAGGAGCCCTAAGCCCCATCCTCAGGACCAGCAGCAGGTCCCCACTGCAGCCCTAGCAGGGCTTGCCCTCTGTCCCGCATCTCTTCCTGGCCAGCCCCTCCCCTCAGAAACCTCCAGACTGGTCAGTGTCAGGCTCTGCTTCACGGGGCCCACACCACCGCCCCTGTGGGCTGCCTGCCCTGGATGGATCAGGTTGTAGCAGAGTGCAGGATACCTGTATCAGGGTGCTCAGGCGTCCCTAGAACACATTTCTGGGAGTTCTGGAAGGGTGTGTGGGTGATCTTGGTGTTGGATTGGAGGGCTGAGCAGAGCAAGTGGCCATCACCAGTGTGGGGTCATTGCCCATGGAGGCCTGGTCACCACACAGAGCGAGGACTTGGCCCTGAGGCTGGGTGATTGTGCACTGTGAGCTTGGCAGGCTAGTGTTTTGCATCTATATTCATGAGGTGAGCATGTTTGGTTTTTGTGCTGAGCTTGTGCTGGAATGACAATTGAAGATTCCATGGCTTCCTGCAGTGTAACAGGTTTGGTAGAAGATCTTCCTTTTATTATTGTTTTGTTTTTCTTTTTGTTTTTGAGACGGTCTTACTAGGTAGCCCAGGCTGGCTTTGAACTTGTGGTAGTCCTCCTGCTCAGCCTCCTGTGTACTAAGACTGCAGGGTGTACAACCATGCCCAGTGTATTGGGGGAAGAGGGCTCATGACAAAAGATCTGTGAAAGGGCTAGAGGTGGCATCCTTTTTTAAAAGCTAGGTATTTTAATACTGAAAATTTTTTCCATGGTTATCAGTCTGTTGTGCTGTCTAGGTTTTTGTTTATTTTGGTTTGGTCTTGAGGATTGAACCCTATGAATGTTAAGCAAGTGCTATACCACTGAACTGTATCTGCAGCCCTTTACCAAATTTTATTTTGAGACAGGGTCTTGATAAGTTGCCCAGGGTGGCCTTAACTTGCAACCCTTAGCCTCCTGAGTGCTGAGTTTATTATAGGCTCATCTTAGTTTCAAGCCTATTTTTCAAAGGAATTTTTTTTTGGGGGGGGAGGCTGGCTCAATGCCTTCAGGGCAGGTTTGGCTGGCTTGAGTTCTGGGGAATCGAACCACAGCAACCTGAGCCCACTTAAAGAACTGAGCTAAGGGGCAGGCCCCCTTTTTTTTTTTGAAGGATTTTTTTTTTCCTATTTTTCTTTTAGACAGGGTCTTGCAGTGAGTCCAGGCTGGTGTCAGACTCACCTCAGCCTCCCAAGAGTTCTTCCTGCCTCAGTGTCCTGAGTTCTGGGATGACAGGCATGCACTATGTCTGGCTGCATTGATAACAAATATTAACAAAATTAAAAATATCTCATCTCTAGCTGTTTTGTTTGATTCTTACTGCTTTTTATATTTTTTATGATTATAATCTTTGACAGGGGGCAGTGCTGTGAAGTGAACCCAAAGCCTTCACACTGAATTGCATTTTTTTTTTTTTTTTTTGAGACAAATTGTGTCTGACCAAATTGTCCAGGCAGGGTGCAAATTCATAATCCTCCCATCTCGCCCTTCCAGAGTGCTGGGATTAGAAGTGGCAGAATGCCTATATTTTTACTTTACTTGCATTTCACAAGAGTAGTTTGTGCATCTGTGGATGGAGTGTCTATTTTCTTTTTCTCTCCCAGAGGTGGATCTTGGTACATTGGCACCCTGGATCCCTCCCTCACTGGCCTGGCCAACTGGGCAATAGCTTGGCCCATCGAAATGTAGACGTGATGGGGCCCAGAGATGGCTCAGTGGAATAAGCGCTTCCTTGGCAAGCGCAAGGGCCTGAGTTCAATCCCCGGTTCCACAAAAAAAAAAAAAAAAAAAAAAAGAAATGTAGACGTGAGCCTGCAGGACTTGGAATCTATGCCCTAGGGCCACACACCATGACCTCAGCCTCTCTGAGAGGCTGGAGCAGTCCCATTGAGCCCTGAGTGCTGACAACCAGCACGTTCCAGGTGCAGCCCAGGCTGCCTGGGGCCATGCTGTGGGGTTTGGCCTAAGCTGGTGATCTGAAAATATGTACACAAATAAAAAATTGCTGTAGACCATAAGTTTAGAGAGTTCATTATTCAGCAAAATACTTAATACATGATTAGGATTTTATTCAGTAATCAACATATTTTTGTATACTAACAAGAGAGAAGGAAAGAGAAAGAACAAAAGGAAGGAAGGAAGGAAAGAAGAAAAGGCAGGATAGAAGGGGGGAAGCAAAGAAGGAAGGAAGGAAAGAAAAAAGGGCCAGGTGTGGTGGTGGGACTCACCTTTACTCCCACCACTCTGGGAGGCTGAGGCAGGAAAATCTGAAGTTGGAGCCAAGCCCCTGGATAATTTAGCAAGATCCTATTTAAAGAACTGAGATGTAGCTTACTGTAATAATTCTCATTCTCTTTCTCTCTCTCTCTCTCTCTCTCTCTCTCCCCCCCCATTTCTCCCTCTCCCTCTCTCCTTCCCTGTCTGTCTCTCTGCCTGTCTCCCTGTCTCTCCTCTGTCTCTGTCTCTCACGGAAATAAAATTCTAAAAATAGCACTTACAATAACATAAAGCACATAATGATAAATGTAGCAAAATATGGTGTAAGACTGGTGCACTGAAAACTGAACATTACTGAGAGAAATTAGAGATCCAAATACAACATTCATGGATCAGATGACTTAGTATTCTTCTTCAAATCCAGTAACACATTTTATTGTGATAAAATCACTGTAAAGTAAGATTTGTCATCCCACGCACTGATGTGCAGCTGTCAGCCCTGCTAGCAAGAACCTGACATAGAAACTGAACCTGCTTAGCAGCACCCCAGTCCACCCCAGCTTCTGTCCCCATACACTGGACTGCAAGTGTCTAACACATAAATGGGATCTAGTAGGTATGTTTTGTTTGCTCTGTTGTTTTGGAGCAGTACTACACAGAACCAGGCGCTCCAGGAAGTGGACTTGCCAGCTCAGTGAGGCCCCTTGCTGTGACCACCACCAGGACACCTCCTGGTCAAGGAGGTCTCCTAGCCCCAGCAGGACATCTGTGCTTCAGCAGCTAGTGTGAGGCCCGGCCACCCATATGACAGCTTACTGTGGCCTTGAGGACCAAGAACACTTGCAGCCCTGTCGTGAGTGTCTACCAGCCTCATGATTTTTCTCCTTCCTCCCTCCCTTCCTCCCTTCCGTCTTTCCTCTCTGTCTCTGTCTCTCTGTCTCT